CATGCTACTAAAATGCATCTATATGAATTTTTGTCAGGTTTGGCACAACCTATCAAATAGACATTCTTACTCAATAGTAAAAGCTGCTCATCAAACGTGGGTGTTTAATTGTTTTATTTTTTGCATTCTTTTTGTACTTGAAATGGTGTATAGTGCTGCAATCCTTTATTGACATTAAACATGTTAAAAGTGACCCACATAATAATAAGACTTTGATTTATTGTCCATGACCATAGAATCGCTACTTATGTTTTTAAGGTGAAGAAATGATATATATATGTTATATTTGAATTTAATGATATTTAGGTTTTCATAGATAATTGTGCCAATTTTTTTTTTAAATTGTACTACAAATATTGTAGGTGACCCATGGAGTGTCATTTTACCACAGAATACCATAGAACAGCCAAAATATACCACAGAACTACAAACAAATACAATAAAACAACTTAGATATACCACAGAATATTGAAATTAAGCTTCAAAATGCAGACATTCGAACAAAATTCAATGAATTATAAGTTACATTGTAGATAGTTATTTCCACATATTACTATGTTTTTTTCCAAAATTAAGTACAAAAAACACTGTTATACACCTGGTAAGGGAGCTACCATTTGATTTTTATGGGGCTAGGATGAAATTTGAAAAAAAGGCAGGACAGGAGTTTTGAGTAAAAAAAAAGGTAGGATGAGACACTTTGCAAAAAAAAAAGGCAGGATGACAATTTATGTAAAAAAAAGTCAGGATAAACTAAAAAAAAAAAGGCATGACAGAGATCACAACTAAAAAAAAATGCAGGACAAAATTTTTCATCCTAGCCCCCCCATAAAAATCAAATGGTAGCTCCCTAATATCAAAATAATTTCTGCAAAGTGATTTTTTTATGTCCCCTTGAAATTTAATGAATTTATGATAGATATTTCGATTTTGTATAAGATTTTGATCACTTTGATTAGGTTTTTGTTGTTGAAAAATTTAAATTTCAGATTAATCGTGTGCATGCATCGCCCCAAAATCGGAAAATTTCATTTTTTGGCATAAGAAATGTCAAAATATCAACGAAAACAATAATAATAATGTCTGTAGTATTCAAATTTGAAGTACTGTGGTGTATTTTGATTGTTCTGTGGTAAAAAGACTCGACTTGTGACCCATACACATCCTTATTTTTATGCCTCCGCCATAATGGAGTGGGCATTAAGTTTTACCCTTGTACGTCCCAAAGTTTGTTTCCGTTCTCTAACTTTAGTTTGCCTCAACCAAATGTTATGAAACTTATACACAATGCTTATTACCACAAAACACAGATCAAGTTTGAAATTGGGTGTGGTCACGATAATGGTTTTTGAGTTATGCCCCTTTATAAACATAAATATTGCTGAGTTTTTTGTTTCCGTTCTCAAACTTTAGTTTGCCTCAGCCAAATGTTATGAAACTTAAACACAATGCTTATTACCACATAATACAGATCAAGTTCGAAATTGGGTGGTGTCACTTTTACCCTTCTTTAGTTATGCCCCTTTATAAACATAACGTTTTAACCCACTGCAATTGTTTGCACCTGTCCTAAGTCAGGAATCTGATGTTCAGTAGTTGTCGTTTGTTGATGTGGTTCATAAGTGTTTCTCCTTTCTCGTTTTTTATATAGATTAGACTGCTGGTTTTCCCGTTTGAATGGTTTAACGCTAGTAATTTTTGGGGCCCTTTATAGCTTGCTGTTCGGTGTGGGCCAAGGCTCCATGTTGAAGACCGTACTTTGACCTATAATGGTTTACTTTTATAAACTTTGACTTGGATGGAGATTTGTCTCATTGGCACTCATACCACATCTTCTTATATCTATAAAAATTTCTGAATACTTTTTTTCCCTTCTCTAACTTTAGTTTGCCTCAACCAGTCAGGGGACTTACTTAAATGAGTGATTTTCTAAATCACTGATTCAAGTAACATTATGTCCATAAAGGTTGGAAGTAAAGTTGTCTTTCTTTAATAATCACCTATTTAAGTAGTACAAATTAATCACTAGACTAAGTGATTTAATTTTATTGTAGCTTTAAATATAGAATGCTAATGATCCAGGGACTAATTATGTTGCTAAAATTATCAGAACCAACATCTGTGTTGATAGGATGCTGGGTCATGTCAGGTGATGACCTTGTACTAAATCTAGGATAATGACATAAAAATCACTTGTTTAAGTATCATACCTCAATTTCCTTCCAAAAAAATCACTTCTTTATATTTAAGTATCATTATTTTAATAACCCCCACTAATTTCAACACCCCCGAACAGTGAAATTTTGATCGCGAACAGTAGAATTTTATTACATAATCTATAAGATGAAACCTTGAATTTTACAGGAAAAATACTCCCACTGCTGGGAAAAATCTGTTAAGAAAGTATCAGTTCATTATGTAAAGCCATTTTTGTAGCATTTTTTCAACTAAAATAGAATTTGCAGCTAAATGATTGCATCAAAGGCATAGACCTTGCTGCTTAAAAGAAGCAAAAAGTTCATTTTTTTTTCAATTTTACTAATGAAAAGATATTATCTAAACCTATGTGTTTAAAATTTTGGTAAAACTACAAAATCACAGTTTGTGGCAAAACTTCGAATTTGCTACTTAAATAAGTGATTTAAAAATCACTTATTTCAATAAGTCCCCTGCCTGTCAACCAAATGTTATGAAACCGCTTAATACAGATCAAGTTTGAAATTGGTTGGTGTCACTTTTACTGTTCTTGAGTTATGTCCCTTTTACTGTTCTTGAGTTATGTCCCTTTATATCTTTATATGATATGCAAGCGGGGGCATCATCTGTGTCCCATGGACACATTCCACATTTATTTAAGGCAAAGTTGGCTAATACGCTAATTAGATGCGCCAACTGGATTTACCATAATTCTTGATAAACTAAACCTTCAAAATAATGTCCAGTTACATATTTTGAAAAATTAATCAATGACCAGAAATACAGACTTCCTTCATGTAAGTTTAAAAAAAAAAATTTCTTTGTGAGAAATAAGAGTTTGAATGTTCATTCTTAGCCAAATATGAAACCTATTGTTTAGAGACCAAGCCAAAAAGTAATCAGAAAGAATAAACAGCCCTGACAGATGTTTTCAACCCCACTTTACATTTTAAGGTATATTTATTCATCCTTGGGTTTTAAATGTTAAGGTTTGAGCATTCCTGATCAAGGTAAATCAAGAAAAGGACTGCAGACGCACACAATTTATAGTGTGTTAATTTTGTTTACACCTTAGCTTACTCATCTACTGAATCTCTTAAGCTTGGATGGTCTAATGAATAGATTCATCTGCGGAAACTCATCAAATATACCAGGCATATAATTTTTTACGACAGACACACGTTAAGATTCATTATTCTGAGAGACATCACTCTAAGCCAGAATTCTCACTAAGGTATTTTGTAAGCAAGTCCAGGGACTCATCATTTTTTACCATGGTGAGTCCAACAGTGAGAAGATGAAATTTAATTGCAATTTCATTTGATAATTCAGTCCCCATGACAAAATGGTGCAAGGAAATGACATTAAGTTTAGATTATTTTTAAACTTTTGTCATTAAAAGATGATATTTGTGCTCAGCTGATACAATATTTTATTATCTTGACTTATGTTGGACTCAACCATATTGAAAATGGGTCCAGACAGATCTTCATGAGTCCAGGACTCCTGGACTCACCTAAGTGAGAACCCTGTTAAGTGACACTATTCATGGGTTCAAATTTCATTTAGGCAAAGGAAGGTCAAGGACCTCAGACCACCGCTTATTTGAAGACCCCTTCATTCAGACCCTTTTGTATATATGTAACCTTCTAATAAAAGGGTTGAAAAAGGGGCCCCAATACAAACAGCAACAGCTAAATTTTATTTGAAATCATATTTATGAATAAAAGGAAATGTAGGGTACACATCAATAAGTCAGCAACCCAACCACATAAAATAACTAACAGACAACATATAATAGTCTTAACAATTAACAGATTTAATCAATTTTATATATCTTTCATTGAAAAACTTTCCAAAAGCCAGCAGCAAAGTGCTTGCTTATAAGTCTGATGAGAATTGATCTTGACTTCAGTCGGAGATAATAATTCTTCATATAAATTGAATTTATTGAACAAGTAAGAGGTTCTTTTTTTGGTGGTAGAGTTATCTATCTTTTTGGTCTAAATATGTCTTTAACATGTTTAATAGTTGTATTTTCTGCTTATAAAAGTACAATTTCATGGACAATTACAATTCTTACATGCTTAACATACATTGTTGTACATGACATACATTTAGTTACTAACATTCTTTGTAAAATTCTTGAGATAAAAATTTGAACTCTAATAAAAAGTACTACACAAATCAGAAAAATACTACAGCCATGTTTTGACTTCCATAAATTTGAGAATTTCATTGGTTGTTAAAAATGATGCATAAAAAACAAAATTTTGGAGAAGTGTGAGGGAAGATTATTATAGAAACATTGAAAGAAATTTTAATCATACTCATTTAATTTACAAGAAAATATGACATCTTCAAGTGTATAAAAATTACAAGTATAACTTGTAACCCTAAATAAAAATAAGATGTGGTATCATTGCCAATCAAACCACTAAAAAACAGAATTCAAAAGAAGTCCATTTCTAAGCAATTAAAGGCCACTGTGCGTCCTTCAACAATGCGAAAAACCCATACCATGCAGTTGGCTATAAAAGTCCCTGACATGTAAAATATAAATCAATTTATTTGAGAAAACTAACAGCCTATCTTATATATATGGAAAAAAAAAACTCGTTTATCATGTGTTTATTTTCTTTTTCAGGATTCTTCAGGAAAAGTTGCGAAGATTTTTTTCTAATGGTGGATCCGTATTAAAATCCAACTATGTAAAACAACAATTTAAAATCATGTAGCTGATGAATAGTGTGGAACAAAATGGATTAGAAAATTTTATTTTTCCTTGGAATACTTGTCAACGATTCCTCCAAAAAAAACCAACATGGAATCGCTTCAGTGTCAAATTTGTAGCAACTTTTTCCAAGACTTACAGTTATTGAATGATCACATTGAAACTCATACAAAAAAGGAGCTTTATCAATTTGGTGTGTCATTAAAAAACTACTTAGAGATATTGATACGTGAAAATACAGTGCTGAAGGCACAATTTAACCATTTAAAACAAACTCAGATTCTATCGACAGAGGACCAGTTTTCGTTGTATAATTCATTTAATTTAACGCCTTCTTCCAAAGAGGACCAAACCGAGCTAGTTCATAATGAAAAGGTACCAGTTTATACTATGGCTGAGGAGCAGACAGTTCAGGATGATGGCCAGTACAGGCAACCAGAATATGTGCAAGAGGTCACAGTACAGTCTGCTGAAAATACAGCAGAACCTCAAAATGAGCCAGAGAATGTTTCATTAATTGATCTCAGTCAGGAAGAAATGAATAAAAATGATGAATCATCACCAAAAGTTCTAGAATCTGAAGATGAAACAATAATATGCTGTATTTGCAAAATTACTTTTCCAAGTTACAATTTATTGAATAACCATATACAGACACATATTGATAGTAACAGTTTCGCTTGTCCAGTTTGTCAAAAAGTTCTCAATTCTCGCAATAATCTGCTTGTTCATATCCGTATACACACTGGGGAAAAGCCGTATAAATGTCACGTATGTGGGAAACCTTTTACTCAATATGGAACACTTTATCGTCACAAGAAGAAACATGAAGCAAATGGCGAGTATGAGAAACCCGGAACATCACCAAGAGGTGGAGATCAGAGTGATGCGAAGTCAAATCACTCTACAAAGAGCACAGAGACTGCTGATTCACCAGTTATCGTTGAAGATTCTCAAAAGCCAGGCTATCCCACAATGCAACAGCAACAGTTATCATATCCACCAAATGTTATGTTATCGCCAAACACCTCATTGGAAAGTATTCTTCCGCAACAATTATTGGCACAGGAAGGAATTACCCCAGAACTGCTGGAACGTTATAATCAGTTGCTCTTCCAGAGACCACCAAATCCGATGCAGATTTACGGACAAGGTGGTACCAAAGAAGGTTCATGGCCAAAAACCAGTGAAGCATCCGATGAACAAAAATCAGCAATACCAGTACCACAACCAAGACCTGAACATATATCTGTGAACTCGTTAGAGACGCTGCCATGGGCTATAAAAAAAGAGCATGAAAAGAATGAAAAGGAAATAGATTTGAGTACTATCACGGAAAGAGAATCAATCGACCAGCAACATCACCAACATCAGCAGTCACAATATCAGTATATGTATCATGGAGAAAACAACACAGAATCAACTAGTTCTGAAACCACGACCAAACAACCGGAACCAGCACCTGAGAAAACCGAGACACATATACATAGTCCATTGAATATACCTCAAATTCCTCCACGAGTTCCTCCCAGCTTGGATGTAACACACCCAGAGTATTCTTTGAATTTATTAACATCACAGGCAGTTCTAGCTAATCCAAATTATATTTATCCTGGCCAGGAAGGAGGACAGACACAAACTAATGATGTTGCAGCCTTAGAAGAACAAGCTAAGAAGGAAAAGCAACTTGTGGAAGAATGGAATGCTGCAATGCAAGCACAGGCCCAAGCCAACGCATTAGCAGTTCAGCAGTTTCAACAAGGACTACCTCCGAACACGATAGCAGAAAATCAAAAAGATTCCAAATCAATGTCAAATAACCAAATATTGGAATCCTTTACTAGTTTAACTAAAAACCTTCTTCAGAAATTAGCACACAAGAAAACTGACCCTGGGGAAGATGATGGATCTGTAGAAATGGGAGAAATTAAATGTTCCGTCTGTCAAGTCTCGGTTCCATCCTATGAAGAGATGAGAGCTCACATCAAAACTCATAATAAACACACATGTGATGTTTGTCAAAAGAGTTTTTCAACACCATTTGTTCTGCGTCGCCACAAAATGATACACACTGGTGAACGACCTCATGTTTGTTCCGTATGTGGAAAAAGTTTTATTGAGAAGCAACACCTTACCTGTCACATGAGAACACATACAGGAGATAAGCCTTATCGGTGTAAATTCTGTCCAAAAAAGTTTGCACAGAGGAGTAGCTTGCAAATTCACCAAAGAGTTCATCAAAGAGCAGACGGCAAAAGGTCATCAACTGAGGAGGGAGAAATGAATGAAAGTTTGAATACTTCAGCTGAAATAGAATCCTCCCCTGATTCTAAGTTAAGTTTGACGGAGCAAAATATCATGGAATTACGGAGAAGACTGAGCTTTAATGAAGCAGATTTACTCAGATTTAACCAAAATCTTGCTGCACAAAGTATTGAAATGCTTCGTCCTAGAACAAAGAGTATGGAATATGGTCCAACTTCGGAACAAAAAGCTTACTGGGATCCTAATCTACATAATGTTTTTGTACCTCCATCTGTAGCCAATCCTGATGAAAATAGAGATGCCCTTGATCTAACATTTCATAGTAGAGAGAGGGAGAGATCTATGTCGATTAATTCTGAGGGAGCTCCACCTACTTCGCAAAGTATAGACTTAAGCAAGACTGTGGATTCTGGTCAACCAATCGTCATTCCTAATCCAACAAGTGTGTCTTCACCAATAAGACTTGAAACTGCAAGATCTGCTGATGCTGAATTTGAACAGAAGCTGCAAGAACAGTTACTTCGACATGCACATGTGCAGCAGCAGACCAAAGCACAAGTACAACAAGCACAGAATCAAGCAGTTTCACAGGCTGAAGCACAAGCTCAGGCTCAAGCCCAGGCCCAGGCCCAGGTTGATGCAATAGCACAAGCACATTCTCAACAAGCACAGGCACAGCAAAATCATGAAAATGGAGAAGAAGAGGATGAGGAGGGCGAGAATCAAGAACCGACATCAGCTTCCTCTCAGGGAGAAGGTAACATGTTTCTACAGATGGCTAAGGCGGGAGAATCTCCGTTCACTTGTCACGTTTGTGGAAAGACACTAAGCACACTGTATACACTGCGTAATCATATTCAGAACCATTATGGTCATAAACCGTTCAGCTGCGATGAATGTGGTAAAACATTTAGTATTAAAACACATCTTATTACACATAAACGTGTGCATACTGGAGAAAAACCATACATCTGCCAGTGTTGCGGGAAACATTTTCAACGTTATAGCGCTGTTCAACGTCATCTTCTGTTTGTTCATAAAGTTGAAAAGGGACTCAAAGGTAGAGATTACGTCATTGTTCACTCTGATTCTATGAAAGATGACATTTTACAAGAAATCAAAGATCACGAAGATGGACACGGTAGCGATCACGAACATCAAGAGTCTGAAAATGAAACTGATCTTGTAATGCCCCCCGCTTCAACCAGTCAATCATCAATCAAAAGTGAGCCAGTGGTGGCTCCTCCCAGAAATGGACTAAATACTTCGTTAGACGAAAGTGAATCTGAATCTTCGGGTGGTAAAGAGGAGATAATCGAATGCCGCTGTACAATATGTAATATTTTGTTTATGGATCATGAAGCTTTAATAAAACATCTTGGGATCATGCACACTGGAGGAAATAATAGAACGTGTGAAATATGTGGCAAGAATTTTACTGTGCCTTTCTCGCTTAAGAGACACTTAATGATTCACATGGGTATAAAACCCCATAAATGTAATGAGTGCGGCAAACGATTTACCGAAAAACAACACTTAGAGTCACACCAGCGTGTCCATACAGGGGAGCGACCTTTTAAATGTCATATTTGTCGTAAAGTCTTTTCACAGTCTGGTACCCTACAAAACCACCTAAAGAAACATGTTGAAGAGCCACAGGCATCAGGAGAAATGAGACAAACAGCCAGTCATGAACAATTTCTAAATAATATTCAATATCAAATGATGCTGGCACGAGCTCAGATGGCACAAGCCCAGGGATTGGATAACCCTCTTGCATTGTCACAAATCATACCTCCTGGAGTCGACATGCAGCATGTGTCTTCAGCAGGATTAGTTCAGATGAGGTCATTAAGTGTTGATAGTTCAGTCGGAGTAGCACAACCTGCCAAATCACCTGGACTTGATACTAACGTTGCAGCAGCATTAGCATCTAGATCAATAAGTGTCGATAGCGCCATCGCATTACAGCAGCTGCAAGAACAAATGCAAGCAGCTGCTACCATGGAACGTCAGATGCAGGAACATTTACAAGCAGTTGCTAATGCTGAACGAGCAATGCAGGAGCAGATTCAAGCGACTGCCAATGCCGAACGTCAAGTTCAGGAGCAACTGCAAGCAGAACGTGCAGTCCAAGAACAGTTACAAGCTTCAGCGAATGCCGAACGGGCTTTGCAAGAACAGATGCAAAATTCAGCCAATGCTGAACATGCTGTTCAGAATTCAACTAGGGATGAACATGTGTCAGCAGAGCATGAAGAAAATGTGTCCAAGGAACAGAAGAATAATCGTTCAAGGAATGAACATTTGCACAATAATACAGACACTATAGACAATTCTAATGCTGGTTCCAAAGCCACAGTAGGAGAATCTCATCAGTCAATGGAACTGGACAGGGAACCAGATAAATCAGAGCAGGAAACAGTCATATCTAATGATGTTGAAATGACAGAAGTGTCACAAGGTTAAACATGAAAAATTGTATAGGTTTTTTATATTTACATAGTTAAGACGGCTCTGTCTATTGTCATGACAGCACAAACAATGTGGTACAGATGAAAATTGTTAATGTTTATTGTTAGTACACCGCTCTGAAATATTTTTCAATATGTTCAAAAGGTATTACATGAGAGTACAAAAATGCACCAACAATTTATTTTTTTTTGGAGGGAGGGAGGGAGGGGATATTTTACTATGACAAACACTAACAATTTTTCAACTTTTTTCAAAAGCAAACTATTGTTTTCAATAGCATCAAGAAATATGTTTTGAAAATCAATGTCATTCTTTTCCCATAAATTTCAATGTAAATACACAAATTTTCTGTCACATACCTTCTGAAACAATTTTTTTTCTTTGAAAAATTTAGAACCAAAGATTTTTTTTTTTAATCCCATGCCGCTTCACAAAAGATGAATGGTCAGTGCTTTAATAAAGGTGTTATCTATCACCTTGATCCCCCCAAAATACCAATAATGAGTATGTTACCATTAACAGAGAAAGAGTTGACCCCCTTGTGGGTACTGTAATACATGTTTAGCAGTAGCTATTCAAATAATTGTTAGCAGTTAAAATGAACATTGTTCAATTTGAAAAAGTCATCTTTATAAATTTTGATAAACTTGAATTCCATATGATCAATTTTTACTTCAATAAAACAGATACATGAGATATATCAGTTTTTTTAACCATTTCTTTTGAAACAATTTGAATAATTTTGACCAATAAAGAAAAAAGTTGAGTAAGGTACATGTTGACCAGCCTTTGGTGATTGACATATTTCATGTATTTTAACCACCAACTGTTTGAGCTGTGTACAATAATCATGAAATGATAGGTCTATTTAAAGTCAAGTTTTTCAGTTTATGTATTTCTTCAATATATGAAGGTCTTGCTATTCTTAAAAGTATTTTTTAAACAAAACATGAAAAATGCTAGAATAACATTTCTGTTTTTAATTGCTATGAATGAAATGGTTATTTTTGTTTAACTTTACAGTTTTTCTTGCATAATAAATACAAATGTGTTTTAAGATTTCCCCAAATCCTTACATGCATTGAATTTTCAAGAATAGGAAAGAGTAAATGTTCATGACTCGTATTCTTTTTTTTTTTACATTTTCTTGAACTTTTTAAAAGAGCTGTTTCAGATAGTGCCATACATGCAGTTTTATTTTTCTGCTGAATATCGGTTGTAAAAAATAAAATGGTTTTTAAAAGCATTTTGAAAATGAATTCATATGTCTTTTTCATATAATGTTAGTTTACTAACCACAGTGATCATGGTAACAGTTCTCAATAACAAAGATTATTTATTATAAAGATATTGACATTTATTCAAAAAGCAACCTTTAAACTTGAACTCTATGACATCTTTGAAGCAGATTGTGTTTCAATTTATAAATAGTTTGTCCTTACAAAACTGCACCTGAGTATGCAGTTGTAAATTGGCAATACGTACGTAGAATTATTGTATTTTAATGAATGTGTAATTTTTGTATAGAAATGTTCTTAGATTGGTGTTGTAATTGATGTGAACTGTATAATTTGTACAGCGTTTTATCACTTATGAATTTCATGTCCTTTCATGAAACATTTTGCATTTATTTTTGATGAAATATACATGTAGTAGTATGACCTTGTAATGTATTTTTGTTATGAATTTCAATATTACGATGCTCTTATCATGTCTTTAAAGTATTTCATGAAGTAAACTCATACATTTAGTGTATAAATAACGTCATTGATCTTTCATCATGATAAAAACAAAACCAATAATAAAAAATATTTTTGTCATTTTTCAAATCATATTTATTATTAATCGTAATAATACGTGTATAATATATTTTATTCTAATCATGAAGCCGTAGAATATTTTCAATATAAATAACTTAGTTTTAAGGGTTCATCATCAATCTAATATAATTAAATAAATGTGTAAAGTTGTAAATATATTTTACTGATAATTTTTTTTGCTTGATATTGTTATAAACAGAGTACAACTGCTTTCCTAATAATTCATCATTTTTGTTGTCTGTTGCACTGTTTAATAAAACACTTAAAATTTAGTATCTGAAAAAAATCATCAAGATCTATTTCTATAAAACAATGCTAATAATTCAGACTGCAGGAATAAGGACATTTCTATGATCCACTTAAACATGGTTCATGTGTCAAATTATAGCATATACCAATAAACAGGGAATTAAAAACCTGGCAAACCACATACTGTGGATTCATTTATTTTCGTGGGTACCAATTTTCGCGGATTCAGAAAAAATGTATTTTTGTGGATATTATATTTCGTGGTTTTGCCACAGCCTGCATACAATCCTATAGAAAATTTGTACTTCGTAAAGCATTAAAATTCGGTTGACCTTTACCCACGAAATCCGCGAAAATTGGTATCCCACGAATAATAATGAATCCAGAGTAAAATAGTTCAGGTGGTCCTTAATCAGATTTATAGTTTTCAGTGGCATTTTTAAACACAGTATATATGTATTGTAGATACAGTAAGCTTTAACTTTTGATATGAGGCCATATGAAAATTATCAAGTTTGAATTTCAAAATAACTTTTAGCTTACATTGAATGTCTTTTTTCCCCATTAGTTAATGCCCATGTGACAGTATTAAGCACCAGTTTTCTATTTTTGTTATATCCTTTGAGTTACACAAATACTGGCATCTCTATTAATAAAGAAGATAAAAATGTGAATTTTAAACAAATACAGCTTATAAATGATTTATTAATAATAGTCTTATAAGTTAAAAATCAATAAAAACCAATATTTTTAAGCAGGAATAGGCAATATCACTCATTTTTGTAAAAATTTATCAGTAAGCTTTTAAAATTCTTCTTGAATTTTTATTAACGAATGTAATAAATAAGGGCACAGAAATTTGCAAGTACAGAAAAAAAAAGTCATATGCTTCAATCTGTAATACAGCATGTGTTTATTTTTTTACATGGCCTTATATTTAAAGATCAATTATGTTAATTGTGTAAAATAGAATATTTGTGATCCAACAATATGAGGCTGACTGAAGCTATCATAAAACATGTTTATTTTTGTTAATCTGTTTTATTTTTTTCTATTTCTGTTAGTTATCTTTGTATGACAGATTGTTGAAAATAACAATAACTATTTCAGTGTCTCAAAACACATTTACCTTTTACAAATTACCACTTGTAACAAGCATTTGAAAATGCAATATTTTAGTATTTTGAATAAAGGGAGGCTCTTGTGTTGAATTACTTCCCTTTGATTGTGAAACTTAATTCAAAATTTTTAACAAAGAAAGGCAATTGAAAGATAATATCTTTTTTATTGTTCATCTGGAATTATTAACATTTTACACAAGTACTCAAAGCATACACCTTTTTACACTTTTGAAAACCCCTCCCCACTTTTAAAATCAGATTTGGTACAATTCATTTTCACTTACATATTGTCGTTGAAAATGTTATTGGTTGGTTTTGTTTTTTATTATTATAAAATTAAGAATGGTAAATGGAAAATGCATCAAAGAGACATCAACCCGACCAAAGAGCAGAAAACAGCCCAAGGCCACCAATGGGTCTTCAACACTGTGAGAAAATCCCACACCAAGAGTCAGGCTTCAGCATTAATGCATTTATTTCAATCTATTACACATTACTTAAACAGAGGTAGCAGTTATGTAAAAAAAAAAAATGGGGACTTTGAATTTAAACACCCATTAGTGTTATCTCTCCAAATGTGTGTGCTTTTAAGTGCTTGTGAAAATTGTTAATAAATCATGTGATATTAATTCCCTGTATTTTGCAAAGAAGTGGAAGTGCCTCCCATTGAAAGGGAAACTATTTTCACAGTTTATAAAACTAGCGAAAGTTGTTAAATCCTATCTAAAAGAGATGAAAACAATCTTAAAATTGCTAGATTGTTTCCTTATTACGCAAAAAAAAAAAGTCAACAATTTTGTGATATTTTAATGTATTTAATGTATTAGTGCTTTCTATAAATATATTTTTTTAATCATTAGCCAACACATTTGTATCTTTTCTGCTTTTAGGAAATTATTTTTGTGACGACCCTTATCTGGTGTTTTAATACATTTTGTACATTTCTTCTCATAAAATCGCATAAACTCTCTGTAAATAATTATGATGAACATAACAGCACATATTTTCTGTTAACGATTTGATGAAAATATTTTTTGTTTAATTATGTTACGTCATGTTTACCAGTATTTTTTGTTATTGACCTAACCTGCATTTCACAATGGTCATGTGACTCAAGAGCAGTTGTAAATTCCTAAGAAGCCAGAAATTACTTCAGGTCTTGAATCATGTGGCTTTTGTGAAATGCAGGCTTGACCCTGATTTATTATATATGTTATACAATGGTAGACATATTATGTATGTAGTTATATAAAGGTGACCATTACACTTTTCTAATGTTTGTTGAGGAAAAGTTAGAATTTCACACCATTGCTGCTGTGAGACTGACTATGAAGTGATTTAATTGCTCAGGAGTTCAAAAGATACGTAGGAATTACCTTCTGATGTTTTAAAAAAGGAAAGAAAGAAAGTTTACATTAAATGCCCAACAAACCTTGCAGATATGAACTTCCATAAGAATGGGGAATAGATCAATAATAATTACACCTAATAAAAGAACAAATATACTGGAAGTTTAAGAAACTTTATAGTTGAATAAGAAATCAGCATAATTTGTTGAGTGTTTAGTTTTTTATTCTCTCTCTCTGAAATGGTCAGATTTTATACATGAGATACAAATTCAAGAAATCTTCTCTGAATATGATTACAGAGTCAAAAAACAGATTAATGTTAAATCGCTTAAATATTTGTGTTAATTTCAAGGGACGGATGTGTCTATTTAAATCTTGACAATTTCTCGCTGTACGCCCTTTTGATGAAATGGTAGTCATTTGAGATAAAAATGTATTGGGGTTTTTGAAAAAAGACAGTATTTCACAAAGAATTAAACTCTAGTATGTTGGGGCCTGGAAACTGTGTGTGATCCTGACCTAAAATTTATTGAAAGAATTAAGATTATAAATTACACTCAGCTGCAACATAAATTTTTTTTTTAAGCATTCTTATCAATTTTAATCAGCTACATGTATTTCAAATTGATTAAATGTACTTCTATGAGAATAATGCCAGA